GAATCGGTGATTAAAAGGTAAAAATTTGAGATCATTCATTTGGTCTTTCATTAAGCAAATGTTTGAGCAACTACTATATACCAGGCACTAATTTAGTCCCATGATACAATGATGCATAAATCAGATAAGGTCTTTGCTTTCATAGAGCTTATGATTTAATAAGGGAGACAGACTACATGGAAAAAGACAGATGGGGGCGCCTGGGTGGTTCTGTCAGTTAAGTATCCCACTCTCGCTCTTGGCTCAGGTTTAGGTCTCAGGGTCGACGTGAGTTCAGGCCCCATGTTGTGTTCCATTCTGGGCATGGAGCCTACTTCTAAAAAAAGACGAAGTGACAGATGAAGAAACAAACTTTATGATTGTGGCAAGTCTTGTGAAGGAAATGGATAAGGTGAGGTGAGAAAGCGGTGAGGGGTGCCACTGCATGAGTGAAAGAAAGTCTCTCTGAGCTAAGAATGAGCCAGACATGCAAAGAACAGAAAATAGCTCCAGGCACAGGGAACAACCAGGATAAATGAGTACTTGGAATGTTCAGAGAACAAAGCTTTACCAAGAAAGAACTGAGTGGTGTGAAAGGAAGGCACAGAGGTAATGGCAGGTAGGTGACATTTATTAAGCACCTACTGGGTGCCCTGCACTGTTTAAAGTGCTTTTTTTTTTTTTTTTAATTTTATTTATTTATTTGACAGACAGAGATCACAAGTAGGCAGAGAGACAGGCAGAGAGAGAGGGGGAAGCAGACTCCCCGCCGAGCAGAGAGCCTGACATGGGGCTCGATCCCAGGACCCTGAGATCATGACCTGAGCTGAAGGCAGAGGTTCAACCCACTGAGCCACCCAGGCGCCCCTAAAGTGCTTCTTGTATACTAACTCATTTAGTCCTTACAGCCTTGTGAGGTGAATTCTGTTATCCTCATTTTGCTTTTACCTTTTGGGCAACTGAGGCACCACGAGGTCAAGTAACTTGTTCAGGTTCACACAGCTCATAATCCTCAGAGCCAGAATTTAGCAGAGCCAGAGTCTTAACCAGTGTACCATATTGCTTTGACATCAGTGTCAGGAGCTCAGAGGAGAGGTCCATGCTGGAGTTGGACATTCAGGAATCACGAGCACTAGAAAGCGTTTAATTAAAACCATGGAAGCAGAGATGCAAGAAGATAGCTCTGGATTGGAGGAGTCCAAATCATAGGACCAAGAAGGGGGAGCTAAAAGAGAGATGAGAAGAGTAAAGAGACAAATGTTAAAATGGCTCAGTCATTTACGCACTTGACCATTCGTTATCTTGGGGAAAATGTTTTTGCTGGTTCAGGGCCAGAACTGCCTGATAGGAATCCACATCAGTTAAGAAACCACTACTAATGCTGCGGCTTTTCTTCAAAGGTCCTATCAGGTAGTCGCTGCATTTATCTCTCTGCTGATACCTTCCCCTGCTCGGGCTGCTGTAACAAAACACCATAGACTGGGTGGCTTAAACAACAGACATTTCTCACATTTCTGGAGCCTGGAAGTCTGAGAACAGGGTGCCAGCCCACTCAGGTTCTTGGTGAGGGTCTTCCGGCTTCACCCAGAAGGGCCCCCTTTTTCTTCCTGTATCGTCGTATGGGGAGGGAGGTAGAGACAGAGGAGGAGAAATTTTCTGTCTCCTCTTTTTATAAGGGCATTAATTCCATCATGAGGGCCCTACTCTCAGGACCTGATCCAAACCTAATTGCCTCCCAAAGGCCTCACCTCCTAATAACATTGCACCGGGAATTGAGAGCCAACATGGGAATTGGTGGGGGGGGGGGGATATAAACATTCAGTCTTTGGAAGCTGAATTTTAAGAATTACCAGTTTCGGGGTGCCTGGGTGACTCAGTGGGTTAAAGCCTCTGCCTTAGGCTCAGGTCATGATTCCAGGGTCCTGGGATCGGGCCCCGCATCGGGCTCTCTGCTCTGCAGGGAGCCTGCCTCCCCCTCTCTCTGTGCCTGCCTCTCTGCCTACTTGTGATTTCTGTCTGTCAAATAAATAAAATCTTAAAAAAAAAAAAAAAGAATTACCAGTTTCAGGGGTATCTGGGGGGCTCATTCGGTTAAGCATCTGACTTTTCAGCTCAGGTCATGATCACAAGGTCCTGGGATCAAGCCCTTTGTTAGGGTCCACGCTCAGCAGAGAGTCTGCTGAAGGATTTTCTCTCTCTCCCTCTGCCCCTCCCCCTACTCCCACTTGTTCTCTCTCTCCCACTCTCTCTAAAATAAATAAATAAACCTTAAAAAAAGAAAAGAAAAGAAAAGGAATTAGCAGTTCAGGCTTCTGTAAATACAGAACACAGGAGATATGTTATAACAGTTACCTGATTAAAAAATTCAGAAACAGGGGCTCCTGGCTCCTAGCTCAGTCATACAGCATGGCACTCTTGATCTGGACATCACGAGTGTGAACCCCACATTGGGTGTGGAGGTTAATTTAAAAAAATGAAAATTGGGGTGCCTTTGTGGCTTAGTGGGTTAAGCCTCTGCCTTCGGCTCAGGTCATGATCTCAGGGTCCTGGGATCTAGCCCCGTGTCGGGTGCTCTGCTCAGTGGGGCACCTGCTTCCCCCTCCCCCTCTGCCTGCCTCTCTGCCTACTTGTGATCTCTCTCTCTCTCCCTCTCTCTCTCTCTGTCAAATAAATAAATAAATAAAATCTTTTAAAAATTTCATATAGGGGCGCCTGTGTGGCCCAGTGGGTTAAAGCCTCTGCCTTCAGCTCAGGTCATGATCTCAGTGTCCTGGGATCGAGCCCCACATCAGGCTCTTTGCTCAGCAGAGAGCCTGCTTCCCCCTCTCTCTCTGCCTGCCTCTCTGCCTACTTGTGATCTCTGCCTGTCAAATAAATAAATAAAATCTTTAAAAATAAATAAAATAAAATAAAAATTTCATATAAAAATGAAAATAAATGGTTGTTTAAATAAAAAATTCTGGAACAGATGTTTATGGTTTATATAGCAAACGTATTTCCATTCCGAAATCATCCTATAGAGTGCTTAGTAGATAACACATTTCATGTATTTTAAACTTGACAACATATACAGGTATGTGTGTGTCTGTGTGTTCACTGTCTGGGGAGTATATTAAACACATATTCCAGGGGCATGTAGGTGGCTTAGTCAGTTAAGTGTCTGCCTTCAGCTTAGGTCATGCTCTCTAGGTCCTGAGCTTTGCATTGGGCTCCCTGCTCAGCAGGGAGTCTGTTTCTCCCTCTCCCTCTGCTCGTCTCCCCTGCTTGGGCTCTCGCTCTTTCAAATAAATAAATAAATAAAATGTTTTTAAAAAATACTCCTTTAGGAATAGTAATGATCCTTGCAACTCTTTCCTTTGTGATCTAAACCTCCTAAGCATATAAATTCTCAAATTTGATATAAAGTTAATCAACTAACCAAATTAAAGAAAGCAAACATTAGAGAAAGTCTCCTAGTTATTTCCCCCTCTGGACTCTTTTTAAGTTTATTTATTTAAGTAATCTCTATACCCAATGTGGAACTTGAACTCACAACCCAGAGATCAAGAGTCACATGCTAAACCAACTGAGCCAGCCAGGTGCCCCTCCCCCTCTAGAATTCAAATATGTACCTTACAGCAAGTAAGTTAAAGTCTTCTAAAATTTTTACTTGAAATTTTAGTAGACTCACTCCTTTTTGGCAGAGGAGGGCAGGGAGGAGAGGGGTAATGTTTTAACACTGATATATTCATCCATGTTCTAATGCCTTTGTGTCTAGTATAAGCTCTGCTTAGAATCCCACCTGTTGTCAGATTTGTCTGTCTTTCAGGACCATGTTTAAATGTTACTTGAACCAGAAAGGCATAACTGCCATAGTTTTTGTTCCCCAGCATTTCATATGTATGATAACATTGCAAATGTATTAAAGTGAGAGGATCATGAGCTGCAGAGGACAAGATCTGTATCTCAGTAACTAGAACAGTGTGTTTTGGCCTTTGCGTATTCATAGCATCATACCAAACCCCAAAAATCTTAGTAGCATACTGTGATTCCGAGCCTCAAAACCACACTCGATTCAGCTATAATTACAAGGCAGTCACTTAGTGTGACGATTTCTCACTGTTGCCAGGAAAATCATCCAATGGTAGGACACTCCTCACCTGGTAGCTCTTCAGCAACGTGGCACTGTCTGAATGATTTTTGCTCTTCTGAATTCTCTCATTCTAGTTTCCAGAAGACTGACGTGATATTAAAGAGAGAGAAACATGATAAGGCCAGAAGACCATCAAATTCTTGGCATTTTTATTTGAAAGCAAAGTTCTTTACTTTCAGGGTTCCAACATGGAAGGCTGTTACTTGAAACGTGGCACAGATCTGCCAGAGTGGCCGTTTTCCCAGAGCAATACTTTGTGTGGTCAGCTCCTTCGCCTGCAGGGCTCCCGTTCCTGGCTCCCTCTGTGCCGTGCACAGTAGACTTGGCAGGTTTTGTGAGATGACCTCACGTATAGAACCACTTACAGATTTTTTTTTAAACATTCTAAGGTTAAAAAAAAAAAAATTCAGTTGTTTCTTTTTATTAAGTTTTCTGATTTGCCTGAAGAGGGGCCCTATTTTATCAGGGTTAAGAAGTCAGCAACTACGAGATGCATTTCAGTTTCTTTCTTTTTTTTTTTTTTTTAAGATTTATTTATTTATTTATTTGACAGAGAGAGATCACAAGTAGGCAGAGAGGCAGGCAGAGAGAGAGAGGAGGAAGCAGGCTTCCTAACGAGCAGAGAGCCCGATGTGGGGCTCGATCCCAGGACCCTGGGATCATGACCTGAGCCGAAGGCAGAGGCTTTAACCCACTGAGCCACCCAGGTGCCCTGCATTTCAGTTTCTTAAATGTTACAGTGTCTTTAAAAGCTCTGAAAGTCATGTCAAGTTACTCTTGAAACAGTATTTGCTGTCAGTTTTCTATCTAGTGTTCTTTATAAATTTACTTCCTTGAGAAGGGGCAAAACACTACTAATTTCCAGTAACTTCTTGTTTTCCCCTACCAGTTGCTTTTCGACTCTATGACTTGGATAAAGATGACAAGATTTCCCGTGATGAGCTGTTACAGGTATGTTGGAGAGCTGCTTATGGTTGTGGACAACTTGTTTGGGCTCTGCTTGCTTGTCCTTTTGGGTGGGAATTGTTCTTTCAGCAAGTGTTTCCTTAAAGCACCTGCTGATACAGAGTACCGTCTTAGATATAAGGCAGAGCCCGATGATCCCGGAGAAATGCGCAGTGGCTCATTGAGTTCTCAAAAATACATGTTTTTGTTGTTTAAAAGCCAATTTAACGTCTCTTACTTGCACTATTGGAGATGGTCTAAGTCAGATAGTTCCATTATTGTTATATCAGCTTATTGACATCCAGGTCATTCTGATGACACTTAGGTAAATGCTGCTGTCCCACCTGTCCTTGAGCTTGACATAGGAGTCAAGGAATTGTTGCCGGGCCGGTGTACAGAGCCAACTGCTGTCCTTTGTTGCTCCTGAGAACAATTCCCTGTCCTCCCACTAGCAGTGACTAGAATTTCGTCCTCCTAGCATTGCCTTCCTCTTGTCTTCCCCACTTCCTTAAATATAAGTTTAGAGGGGAGAAAGTTCTCCTTTTTTCTTTTATTTAATATTAATGATTCTGGAGGATCCTAGGAAGCTAATACATTCAGGAATTTCCTAGGGAGATTTGTCTATTTCAATTTACTAAAAAGTAAAGTGGGTTCCACTCACCCCCAAATAAATCTGAACTCATTCAGTGTCTTAAGAAGTCTGATAAGCTGAAAATTACTCAGGCCAGATTAAGGACCAACATTTCTGTGTCTGAGCAAAATTCAAAACAGTCTGCAGGTCAGTGTTAGTGTTCTTTGCTTTCAGATTGGGGATATCTTCATTGAGAGGAATGTACTTTTTGAAAATGGCTATGCATGGACTGCTCAGTTCTGAGGAGAAAAGACAGAGGCAGTCCTTTTGTAGTTGAATGTTTTCATCCTCTGACCCAGAAGATCTGGCTGCCAGAAATATTTTTGGGAGTGGTAGATTGATTTATTTTCTATTATTAGGATTAAAAAAAGCCAGAGGAAAAAAAACCCAAAAAAACAAAAAACCAGAGGCAGGGGTGAGGAGATCATATGCTGGAGTGCCAGTCAGTGCCACTAGAGTGTTCCTCAGGCCTGAAGTGACTTTAGGACAAACGTGTTCATGGACTGCTGTGGTGACAGAGAACTAGTTTTATCCTAGCGGGAAGAGGATATGAATATCTTAGCAAAGTGAGAAGAAAACAAAGTTTGCCTTTCTAGACACTGCCGTATCTAAAATATTTTATGATGCATAGTTCTTAACTATTCAGTGGATACTTAAAAGTTTGTGATGAGTTTATCCTAAGGGAAGGCTAAGTGGCTATTTTCCTGGTGTGATTTTTATATAAAAAGTCCTGGTTGAACTTTTGGGGATGATGGATATGTTCATTATCTTGATTGTGGTGATAGTTTTACATGTGTCTACATATGTCAAAATGGAACAGACTGCATATTTTAAATATGTATAGTGTATTTGTTTATCAATTACACCATAATAGATAAGTTGCTCTACTCTATGAGGCTAGTGTAGCTTTGATGTGAAGACTACATAAGTAACGAAAATTACAGCACAATCTCTTTTATGCACATGGATGTAAAAATTCTAAACAAAATACTGACACACTGAATCCAGCAGTGTATAAAAAGGAGTCTGGATTTTAGCCAAGGTGGGTTTAAATCAGAAATTCAAATTTAAAATTAGAAAATCAATCAATCAATTTTGCCACCTTACCAGATTAAAGTAGAATTCCATGGTCTTTTCCGCAGAATAAAAGTATCTGATGGGGCGCCTGGGTGGCTCAGTGGGTTAAAGCTTCTGCCTTCAGCTCAGGTCATGATCCTAGGGTCCTGGGATCGAGTGCTGCATCCGGCTCTCTGCTCAGCGGGGAGCCTGCTTCCCCCTCTCTCTTTGCCTGCCTCTCTGCTCTGTGATCTCTGTCAAATAAATAAAATCTTTATTTAAAAAAATTTTTGATAAAATTCATCATCCATTCATGATTTTTTTAAAAAGTCTTAGCAAAAAAAAAAAAAAGTCTTAGCAAGTGCTCATTTTGGCCTCATATATAGTAAATTGGAACGATATAGAGATTAACATGGCCCTGTGCAAGGATGACACACAAATTTGTGAAGTGTTTCATATTTTTAAAAAAAAAGTTCTTAGAAAAACAGAGATAGAAGGGAGCTTTCTTACACTGATATAAGGAATAAACAATAAACCTTACCAGACATTAGCAAGTAGTAATAATAGGGGTGCCTGCCTCAGTCAGTTGAGCGTCCTACTCTTGATTTCACCTCAGGTCGTGATTGGGGTAATGGGCTTGAGACCCATGTCTGGCTCCATGCTCACGGGGGAACCTGCTTGAGATTCTCTTTCTCCCTCTGCACCTCCCCCTGCTTGTGCGCTCTCTCTCTTTTTCTCTCTCTAATAAATAAATAAATCTAAAGAAAGAAAGAAAAGAAAACAAGTAGTAGGGGTGCCTGGATGGCTTAGCCCTTAAGCGTCTGTCTTCAGCTCAGGTCATGATCCCAGGGTCCAGGGATCAAGCCCCCACATTGGGCTTCCTGCTTGGTGAGAAGCCTGCTTCTCCCTCTCCCACTCCTCCTGCTTGTGTTCCCTCTCTCGCTGTGTCTCTGTCAAATAAATAAGGAAAATCTTTATTTAAAAAAAAATAGTAATAATAAAAGTCCTGTTTGCTAATCAAATTCCCATCTGGAACCCTGAGTAACTCTGTTGAGAGCTAACTGGCCACAGAAGCCTGGCAGACAGTGAGGGCCACTGGTTGCTGGGACCTGGATCAAGCCACTTCTAGATGCTCTTGTCCTCGTTAATAGCCTGGATGAGTGATTGTTCAGACAACACCACTCCTCTCCCCACAGAGCACACATGCTCCGTACAGTTCTCTAATTCTAAAAATAAAATACTTCAGAGAAAAATTGGACTGAGATCTGAAGAAGCTGCTATTTGAGGATGAATTTGTCTAGTCAGCCACACACAATCAGGGAAAATGGTAAATGGCTTGGCCATTCTGTATTTTTGCCAGGATTGCATCTTTTTAAAAAAATTTTTGTTTGTTTTGAGAGAGAGAGAGAGTGTGTGTGTGTGCGTGCGTGTGTGTGTGCGCGCGTGTGCGCGCACATGGAGAGACGGAGAGAGAGAATGGGCCCCCCTCAGTGTGAGGCTCCATCTCGCAACCCTGAGATCATGGCCTGAGCCAAAACCCAGAGTCAAACGCTTAACAAACTGTGCTACCCAGGTGCCCCAAGAATGCCTCTTTTTATTAATCCTTCCAGTGTCTGTCTTTGTACTCCCAAATGTACAACTTCCAATTTTCAAGAATCAGTTTGTAAAAAAAAATAACCAGTATTGATGCAAATTGGTATTTCAGCTCTGTTTTTCTTTTCAGAAAATCCTGTGATTTACTTTTTAAAAATCTATGTCATGAGATTGCAGAAGGATGGAAAGGAAGGCCCGTGAACTGCTGGGCCAGAAGGGCTCTCTCTTGTGTAGAAAAGTTCAGCTCTTAGCTCTGAAGACAGAGCAGTGATATGAGGCATTACAAAAGCACCCTTCCCCCATTTCATACCAAAAGTCATGTCACTACCATTGCTTATTTTGCTTAAAGTAACAATTTTCAAAGTACATTTACACTCTGAAGATGTTAGCAGAATTGGGGGAAAAGTTTTTTTGTTATGTGTGAAGCAGATTTGATGAAACATGTTAAATTCTCTTGACTACAGTCCTTTAAATGTGCTTGTTGTTTTTCTAAAAAGAAGGGGTTAGTTTTTACCCCTTCAAAGATCTTTATGTTTCTTGGCTATGCTATAGGAATAGCTGGGTTAATGAGCTGCTTCGGAGAGGACTGCATTCCTGTGGGATTCCTAGAAAGCCCTCCCAAAATGACTTACACCAATAAGGAACTAGTTTGCCTCATGCAGCAAGAAGTCTGGGGGTAGATTATCTGGGTTGATACTGAACCTATGTGATGTCCAGGAACTGGGCTTCTGTATTCTTGCTCTGGCATGCATAACACAGAGGACTTTCACCTCATGGTCCCAGGATGACTGCTATACCACCAGAGCCTCATATCTATCTGTATTCCTGACAAAAAGTAATGGAAGAGCAAAATGCAAAGGACTCTCCCCCCAGTGAAGCTTTGCCTTCATATCCAGTGACCTTGCCAGAGAGTTCTGCTCATCTCATTGTCTCAAATGGCCGAGATGAGAAGACAAGGGTTTCTGCTTTCTAGCTGTTATATTTGAGGACTTCAAAGGAAAAGAGGGTGGGAGTGGCTTTTTCTTTAATCTTTTTTTTAAGAGTCCTCCTGGGGTGCCTGGGTGGCTCAATCAGTGAAGTGTCTGCCTTAGCTCAGGTCATGATCCCAGGGTCTTGGGATCCAGGCATTGGGCTCCCTGCTCAGCAGGGAGTCTGCTTCTCCCTCTGACCCTCCCCCCTCTCATGCTCTCTCACACTCTGTTTCTCAAATAAATGAATAAAATGTTTTAAAATAAAATAAAAGAGCCCTCCTGACCCCTAGGTCTCCTGTAATTCGTGGCTTTTGGTCCTGTAGGTGCTTCGTATGATGGTTGGAGTAAACATCTCAGATGAGCAGCTGGGCAGCATCGCAGATAGGACCATCCAGGAAGCGGATCAGGATGGGGACAGCGCCATATCTTTCACAGAATTTGTTAAGGTCAGTCAGTCCCCTCTTGGTTTGAAAAAGTCTGAAGAAGTTGGGAAATTCTGTTGCATAGAAGGGAGGGAGAAAAACATTCAGATAAGAACTTGGGACAGTATCTCCTGTTTTGACCTTCATAACCATAATTGGATTTGGGGGTTTTCTCCCCCTGCAGGTTTTGGAGAAGGTGGATGTAGAACAGAAAATGAGCATCCGATTTCTTCACTGAAGGACTGAGACCAAACTGTTCCCTGCTTTCTAGTATTTAAGAACTGGAACTCAAGAGTCGTCCTGTCCACCAGCCCCACCTCCACCCCATCATTCCCCTTCTCCCAAAGCGCTACTGCTGTTGCATGACAACCCCAGACATGTCCTGTCAACATAAACCTGCCTTCGGTGCATAAACAGGGCATTACAGAATGGTACCCCCGTCCATTTCTGTTCCGTATCATTCACCAGTTATCTCCATTTCTGAATATCATCTTCCCTGGTTTGCTGCTGAAGGCCATATGTCCATCCAGTCTGAAAAAGTGAGAGAGGGAATTCATGCCAAGAACCAACCAGCAAAGCTCTTTCACTGGATATAGACGACAGCCTTGCTGCCTTCCCTCCAGCCGGGCTTCGGCATGCTCCTCCAGCCTTTTTTGTATGTCCTTTGCTTCCTCCTCCTCTTTCACCCAACATACCATTCACTTAGTTCTTCAGTCTCCCTGCTCTTCACTAAGCTTCAGTCCCCCTGTTTTACTCGGCACCCCAAGCTGTGCCTGTGAAACGTATTTCTGACTTGGCAGGGTAGTGCGGCGATCTGGCGGGTTTTGTCTACCTTTATTCTTAAATGGGTCTCTGGGATGTTGCCTCTCCAGGAGCTTTTCCATAACCAACACTTCTCTCTGAAGAATGATCATCTTTTGGTCCCCTGCACTCTGCTCTATCATCAAAGGGCTGTTGGTTAGGTGTTCTTGTTGAAAGGTGGAGGCCTTGGTGCACGGTGTAGAGCCAAGGCTTCTAGATGGCTCACCTGGGTCGCTCTACCTCTGGCCTCTGGTTCTCAACATACATAACTACATGGCTACTCTTGTTAGTACAGTGTTAACTCCTCAGAAAAGGGCCGTATACCTGCAGGTTTGCTTAGTTTGGGGATACCATCACCACCAGAATGGCTGCCCTGACAATACGCTTGAGGAACTTTCTTGTGGCTTTTTGATCAAGGAGCCCGGGCACTCTAAAACCCTGGCGTACCCCCACTTCTGCACCATGGTTAATGCCTCAGTGTTATGTGCCCTGGAATGTGTTTCACGTCCCATTTCCAAATAGGATGAGCAGTGTTAACAGAAGTGCCTACCTTATCCCAGTTCAAGAGATTTAAAGACTGTCCTCAGTGTCTTGAAGTTTTGCACAAAATTCTCAATGAATTTTACAGTTGGCAAATGTTAAGGCTGGAAGCCATAGTCTGCTCCTGAACGAGGTCCAAAGCATTGAATGTATTGTTATCAGAAGCTGCCTGGTTACATTGACTTCCTAGTTCCTCTTGTAAACCACTACTCATCTCTTAGAAGCAAGGAGTCTGGCATCAGTGGCACGATCTGAGGTGGTGTGACAGGCCTCTGCACGAGCCAGAGCAACTTCTGTGCCCCTCCAGCTTAGTACAGACCTCAGTGAATCAGGCTGTCGTCATCCTATCTTTAGCAGTCTCCTCGTCTATGTGTTTGCCCTTGGCTGATTGTCTCTGACGCATTGCTTGCTCACTTGGTTGTTTCCTTGCTTTGGAAGGCTATCCAAGATGTGCACTCAGTACTTGAGGAAGGGAATTGTTTAAAAACAAAAACAAGATGCTGCAGAGGGATTGGGAAGAGTGGCAAACAGGAGTGGCCAGGCCGGATGACTCAAGTATGAATGACTGGGGAATTCTTGATGAAGTATCAGTCTGACTTTGTGATCAAGTGATGTAATATAGGAAATGTAGAAAGGGGAAGAATTTTCTGACATTGATCTTTTAGAGAGGTACTTCAGAGGCTCCTTGACTTCCATATTTAAAGTTCTTAAGATGGGGCTTTTCCTCCTTTTGGCTGTATAGCAAACTGTTTTAATCCACGGTTGTGCCTTATTGTTTCCATTAAAATTGTATTCTTTGATCCATCAATAAATACTTGTGGTTAAAACAAAAAACCTTTTGTCCATGTGTCTTTAAAGAATTTTATATAACCCAGTCCCCTCCTACAAGTTTTAAAATCCCAAACTGTGTTTCCCTTACTCAGGTTTATGTTTGTGCCATCAAATACGTATGTCTGCTCTGCTGCTGCCCTGACACACGATGTGGGGGTGTTCATCTAGGGGTCAGCACTGTGTGCCTCTGGGCCAGGTTTGCTGCCTTGGCCACTTCCCACTCACTCCAGGGAGGATTCCATTTCTGTTCTGGACTTCTTGGCTTTTTAAATGTAGAAAGGCCTAAAAATGGGTTATGTGTTTATTGCTTGTTACTAAGTCATCCACCCCCTTGTGCATGTGCAGCCTCAATGACATATTATACCCAGCTGTTATTACATGGCTTTTCACATCTTCAAGATCCAGGGACTTGGGGTGCCTGGGTGGCTCAGTTGCTTAATTTAAGCACCTGATTCTTGATCTCAGCTCGGTCTTGATCTCAGGGTCATGAGTCTGGGACCACACTGGGCTCCGTGCTGGGTGTGGAGCCTACTTAAGGAGAAAAAAAAAAAAAAGACTCAGTGACTGCCTCGTCTGCAGGGTGCAAATAGCTTTCTTTAGGGTTAGTGGTATGCCACAGGACTCAGAGCAGTAATAACAGCTGGAATCAGGTCTACAAATTCTAACACGATACCCTCTTTTCCCATCCATCTGCCTCAAAAGTCTGTTACAAATGACTTGCATGGTGTTTAAGCTTTGTTTCACTTTAAGTCTAATGTTAGGATTCAGTGAAAGTGGAAACTAGATGAAGGACCAAGCAGTCCTTTTTGGGAAAAGCTGAATGTTACTGGCCATGGCCAAAGGAACAACAGTCTGGTGATTAAAGTAGAACATAATACTGTAAAATCGTTGTAAAAACATTACAGCATTAAATACAGTTTGGGGAAAAAAATCTCCTTAACCAACTTGACTTCTCTTGTTCTTTCTGGTCTATCCATGCATTACATATTTGAACATAAATGGAACATAACACAGGATTATATCAGTTTTGTTTTTTGGTTTTTTTAAAGGATGGGAACATTTTTTTTTTTTTAAGATTTTTATATATTTGACAGAGCAAGAGAGCAAAGCAGAGGGAACAACAGGCAGAGGGAGAGGGAGAAGTGGGCTCCCTGCTTAGCAAGGAGCCTGATGCGGGGCTCAATTCCAGGACTCCAGGATCATGACCTGAGCCGAAGGCAGCCACTTAATTGAGCCACCCAGGCACCAGAGATTATATCAGCTTTAAAAAATTAATGTATTGTGGGGCTCCTGGGTGGCTCAGTGGGTTAAAGCCTCTGCCTTCGGCTCAGGTCATGATCCCAGGGTCCTGGTATTGAGCCCCGCATCGGGCTCTCTGCTCAGTGGGGAGCCTGCTTCCTCCTCTCTCTCTCTCTGCCTACTTGTGATCTCTGTCTGTCAAATAAATAAATAAAATCTTTAAAAAAAAAATTAATGTATTGTGGGGCGCCTGGGTGGCTCAGTGCGTTAAGCCTCTGCCTTCGGCTTAGGTCATGATCTCAGGGTACTGGGATTGAGCCCCGCATCGGGCTCTCTGCTTGGCGGGAGCCTGCTTCCCCCACTCTCTCTGCTTGCCTCTCTGCCTACTTGTGATCTCTCTCTCTGTCAAATAAATAAATAAAATCTTAAAAAAATAAATAAATAAAAAATAAAAAATTAATGTATTGTAATATTTCCCTATGCTGCCTGTTCTTCCTAACTTGTAGTAATGGTTACTATTTTACAAACTTGATGCAGCATGTAATTATTGCCTTGTTTATTGTTTCCAATTTTATGTTATAATGATACATATATAATATGTATATATTGCACATATATATATTTTATATTTTACAAACTTGATACAGCATGTAATTATTGCCTTGTTTATTGTTTCCAATTTTATGTTATAATGATACATATATAATATGTATATATTGCACATATATATATGCACATATAATGCACATAGCTCTTTTCTTTGAAAAGATTTTACAGGAGTGGGATTACTAGGTTAAGGTTTGGACATATACCTAAAGCTTTTGATATGTCTCCAAAGAAATGAATGCCAAGCTGCCACAAGTAATTGAATTACTTTATTTTACCTTCATTCTTCTTTTTGGAATATTCTTTACTGTCATCTTTTTTTTTTAAATTGCCTTTAGAATCATGTTATCAGGTTCTGTATTTAAAATACTTACTAGAATATGGGGCACCCAGGTGGCTGTTGGTTAAGCAACCCACTCTTGCTTTCAGCTCAGGTCATGATCTCAGGATTGTGAGATCAAATCCTGTGTCAGGCTCCACACTCAGTGGGGAGTCTTTGAGATTCTCTCCTAATCCCTCTGCCCCTCCCCCACTTCCTTGTGCTCTCTCTCTAAAATAAATAAATCTTGGGGCACCTGGGTGGTTCAGTGGGTTAACCCTCTAGCTTTGACTCAGGTTGTGATCTCAGGATCCTGGGATGGAGCCCTGCATCGGCTCTCTGCTCAGCAGGGAGCCTGCTTCCTTCCCCCCACGCCTGCTGCTCTGCCTACTTATGATCTCTCTCTGTCAAATAAATAAATAAAAATCTTCAATAAATAAATACATCTTTAAACATAAAATACTAGAATAGATTATGTGATTGATTGGGATTTAGAGCAAAAATTCATTGCAGAGATGCCTCAGAGAGGACTGCCTTTACAAACTGGTCTTCTTAAATTACAAACCAGGTAGTTATCCTGTTTCCTAAACACTGAGAGCAGAACTGCTTGGAAGGAAGTCATTACTGGACCGAAATTCCCTAAATTCACATTATTTTGACTGAGCTTTGAGTCAATGAATGATTCAAACTGAAGATGGCTGGTATTTTCCAGTACAGATCTGTTTAACATCTAGCTTAGTAGAAACTTCAAATTGCAATTTAGAGATACTTTTTTCTTTTCCTCTTTTTCTTTTCACACCGAAGAGTGACGGGAGATTTACCTATAGTTTTGTGAGGTACTGCAGGCAGGTTCTTCCCAGCTCTGGGATGGAGCGGACCACAATGAGGAGCCTCCTGTCTTTTAAGATGGAGTAAGTAACTAGCCTGATATCTTAACCTCAGGTAGAACCTGATCAAGGACTTCATCTTGAGATGCCAAGACTCAGTTTTCTTCTCTTACTCCTCAGTCTTCCAACCACTAGATTCTGACCTCTTGTCAAAATTAGGAAGACTTTGAAGGCATGGTCTTGACACTTCCCATCACCCTTTGCAGTCTTTTTAAGAACTGAACCAGGTTAAGTGAATTGGTATATCCTATACCTGAATGTGGCTGCAGAAATAATAATCAGGTAAGTTCTCTTGGCTGGTATAATAGATATAAAGCACCATTAAACACATTTTTAAGTGTTTAATTTGCAAGAAAATCTCTTACTTCCAAAAACATATACACTACTACTTTAGAAACAATTTTTTAAAAAGATTGTATTTTTTTTTTTTTTTAAAGATTTTATTTATTTATTTGACAGAGAGAGATCACAAGTAGGCAGAGAGGCAGGCAGAGAGAGAGGAAGGGAAGCAGCACATATAATGCACATAGCTCTTTTCTTTGAAAAGATTTTACAGGAGTGGGATTACTAGGTTAAGGTTTGGACATATACCTAAAGCTTTTGATATGTCTCCAAAGAAATGAATGCCAAGCTGCCACAAGTAATTGAATTACTTTATTTTACCTTCATTCTTCTTTTTGGAATATTCTTT